GAATTGCCGCGTGGAAGCCATCCTACTTATGTACGATGATGTAAAATGAAATGCACGTTCATTCAACTGTTTGACTTATATTATGCAAGAAATTTCCACGAAGGGGTGGTGGCGCAGTGGGTCAGCGCGTAGGTCTCATAGCTCCTGAGAAATCCTGAGGTCGAGAGTTCGAGCCTCTCTCACCCCACCAATCCACTAAAATCGATTTTGGCGCAAAAATCAATTGATGTTTATAGCAAATTAAAGGTTGATCAAGGTTGTCTAAAGGACATTGGAAGGATAAAGTTTTTTGAGTGAAACCATGACAGGTAAAATTAACTTGCAAATGCAACATGTTTTTGGTGACTGCAAAAGAAAGGTAAGAATTTACATTCTTTGGTTAAGATAACACAAGAAATTGATGAGTTTATTCACTAATAATTTATAAAATGACAATGCTATTTTTCCTGCATTTTTATTAAAAAATGAATTTATTTTCTATCTTTGGCAGGAGAACATAGAGTTATGCATTAAGAAATTCATTTTTATTATATATTTAAATAAAATTATTTAATATAGATTTTCCAGAGATAAAGGAACTTTGCCCATATATCTTATTACATTTCACACAATTGTTTTCTGGAAGAATTTGAAACACCAATGCTTTAATTTTTTTATAAATATTGCAATTAAAACTAATCTAAATTAGCTAAAAAATTTAGTACTTGATATTTTTCAGTGGTAATGGATATACCTGGAATAAATTAATAATTTTTATCAATCTTGTGTATATAAATTATAAGCATATTTATAGTTTACTATAAGCTTTTCTCCAACAATCTCTAATCTTTTTAGAGGATCTTTATGGCCTGGATGCATAAGAGATTAGATGGTGCCTCACAAAAAGCCCAAATAAAAATATATAAAATTGTAAAAATTATGAATATGTTGTTACACTACTTTCTTAATTGGTTTTTTTATTTACAAAAGACAAATCTCAAACACATTGTCTCCCATATCACTTATAAAATTATATATTTACCTCTACTCACTAAAGTTATACCATAATCACTATAGGAAAAACAATCTAGCTAATTTTGGGCTATAACTAGTTTTTTGTTTCAGAAAAAAAAACATTAAGTAGTAACAAATTTATTTATAAGACTAAATGCCAGAAAAAATGAATATGACTAATGAAGATGAAGGCCATAGTTGACAAAGAATAGAGAGTGATACATTGAAAAATGCTAAAAATTATTATAAGGAAATTCAACAAAAATAAAGAAATCAACCTAATCATCATATTGCTCAAAAGCTTAAATAGTATGTTATTGATATGAGAATGATAAAAAGTTGATAATTTACCTTTGATGTGAAGGAAGGAAATAAACTAATACCAAAGAGGGAAACAAACTAAAGCCCACAATCTATAATAATATTAATTGGCAAAATATAAAGATAAAAGATCTTTTGTAGATAAATTTAACCTTCATCAATTGTCTTTCAACATGGCAAGAAAATATGTTATTTTTGAAAACCATTTGATCACAATAAAAATGTTATCAAATCCTTAAAGAAGGTGGAAAATCAATAAAAAAAATCTATAAATATGAATTTTTAGGCCTCTAACGCAAGAGGAAATGGCTGGAGAAGACAAATTGAAGGATGCAAAGGTATTTTGGTTTGAAAACATATTGTTAATACAACCAAAATTTCCAATATATTTACACATGTGGAGCCACCTTAGACCAATTCTAATATCTTGTAAATACCAAATGTTATATTGCAAAAGTGCCATGGCACACTTGGATGATATGCAATTATATGTCAACTATATGTGATTTGAAGATTATATAAACAACTCCCTCTTTATACACAATGAGGAGGATAAATATAACATATACCATATGGAGTTCTTGCTCTAACGTGATCTTCTCCTTCCAGAGTTTTTCAGTGCCTAGGAAGGCCGAGTCCATCACTCTTGCCATCACCATTGTTACCATAGCCATCACCAAGTCCATTGAGCCAGTGGAAGCAGCAGACCTGAGATTTAAGGCAAAGCGTCCTTTTTCTCCTTCAGCATCAGCTGCTGCTCCGGCCTACAGGTATAGCCTAGAGTGTGTGGATGCTAGTATCACTATGCAAGCATGGCGCGCGTTTTGATTTTTACGGCAGAAACAATCACGATTATAGCACTTCACGTCTTCAAATGCACCACTATAGGTGTTAATGTTGTGAGCCATTTTTGTTTTTGTTTCTGTTTTTCTTGTTTTTTAAAAATTCAAGTGATCGTTCATTTGGCAAATTGACTTGCGAGGGGAAGCTATGGACAAATTCAAGAAGAACGGCACAAGTATTTTCTAACGTGCTCTAGATATTTAATTTTTCTTCCTTGTTTCTAGGATCAAAGCCCGAGATGCAAGAGGATCTGTTAAAAGTTTACATTTTAGTCGATTTTCTGAATCTCACAATCGTTTTTTATATGAATAGAAAGTAAAGACCAATTCAAGTTCTTCTGCTGCTCAGAAACTTATGCTTGTTTTACGAAATTTTTATAGTCGTTAAGCTGCTCGTCGAAAAAATCGCTGCTTTTTTATTTTCAAGCTGCCTCTGCTTAAAAAAAGCCACTGCTCTTTCCGCCACTGCTACTCTGCTTTCTAAATTTTTAAGCTGCTGCCCCTGCTTGCTTTAAGAAAGTTTTTTAGTCTTTGCTTCTGCTTCCCAAGTTTTAGATTTTCGAACCTACTATCGAACTTGCTCAATCCAATGACAATTGTTCAGTTCCACTTGCTCCGATCTCTGACCTCTTACAGTTTCGCTGCTTCAAGTCCTAATTTCTCCACCCTGATTTGCTTTCTGTGATAGTCTTCTGGATCTCCGAAGTTTTTAACATACAAGGAGCGAGATGTCTTACTCTCGATTACAGCGGCCACTCCTTAGATGGTGAACAGACTATTTTCTAATAGAGTAGAAAACTTGAAGTTTTTTACTTACTAGTGGGCCAGAATAAGCAGCTCCTCAGCATAGTCTCCGGGATGTTTTATTTATTTAGTCTCGCAGATTACCTCGCAGAGAAAAAACGCGGCCTCCTACGAAGTTGGAGCTCAGAAGATTTCCAGCAGAGCAGAAAAACAACAAGAAAATACCACAAAGTGTGTGTTGCTGTAGGCCTTGAGAGGCTTTCTTCTGCTGTTTAACACCACGGATGAAAAAAATGGAAGAGGACGACTCTACGTACCCTCGGTCCAGATTGCTCGATTGTAAAGGGTGGCCATTGCCTACTGTTGCTTCGTGTTAGAGTTCGCTCCAGCAGATAAAAATAGTCTGTAATCTCCCCACGTCAGAGGCGAACATCCGGTGAATCCGCACCACTGGCTCCAAGCAGCTTCATCGAGATCGAGATCGAGATCATTCCTTGATGATATACTATCACCCAAGCACCTGTAAGAGCGATCCTGGACAGCGTTGAGCTCTCGTCACGTTTCCGTCAACTACTCAGCATCCCATCTTTTGCTTCATGCCAAAGTTTGATGGACTGTGCTTGACTTCCAGAGCTCGGCTGGCCGACTGCTCCGCCTGGAGCGCCGCTTTCGACTGCTTGTGCTGCTCCATCGTCTCGGACACCTCCCAAACTTTGGAGTCAAGTGAGAATTTCTCCTCGAGAAGATTGATCTTCGCTTGACTTAAGAGTGTGGATCTCGAGACTGGTAGCTCAAACTTGGCGCTTTGGAGGCCTGCTACTGCTTCCCTGTGCCACTCGATCTGCTCGGAGATTTCGATGTACTCCAAGTTTTCCTGCATTTGACGGCCTCGAGGTGACCAATCCTTGCAGCCGATTTCTCGAGCTCATTTCTCGTTCCTTCGTCGTGCTTAGAACCTCTCGGACAGTTTGTTCGTGTTCTCTTCTCAGGGAATCGGCTTGTTCTTCGCCACTTCAGGCCTAGGCATCGGAGCTTCGTGCTGAGAAGCTCGAGTGGAAGGACGCATGGACAGGGCTTGAGGAGAGGCATGCGAAGCCAGATGGCCTCCTAAACTCTGCAACAGCTTCTGCGTTCGATGACTCCTCTAAAACTAGTCCTTTCGTCTTAAAGTTCGCTCCACCAGATACCAGACTGCACGTCAGAGGCGAACAGCAGCAGTCCTGTGAATCCTTCCAATCGCTCCACCTTCACAAGCAGCGTCATCAAGATAATCTTCTTGCCATCATCATCTTCTTGAGTTCCCTTGCAGCAACCTGCCACTGCGTTCCTTGCTGATACTATCATCCGAGCAGCTGTACGAGCATTCCTGGACAGGGTTGGAGTTTCAAAGTCTCCGCTCTAGCAAATGATAGAGAACTTCGAGCGTAGTCTGTCTTATAGTCTCCACAGCCTCTCTCTGAATCCGATATCCCCCACCGTCACGAGCAGCTTCAGCTAGATCATATTCTCGCCATCTTGCATCGTTCCTCGCTGAAGCTGTGGACAGCCTTGGAGCATTATACCGCAGCAGCACCTCCTGAATCATCTCCGTCGACTGGGAAGCTGATCAGATAGACCCCAGACAAGTCCAACTTTATAGTCGTTGAACACCAGCCTCCTTAGGTGCTTGACTGGAGAGCTTTGACCAGAGTGCAAGCTCGATTCTTGAGTTTCCTTGCAGCAATCTCGTCTTGATCCCTTCCTAAGCTGCATCCTCGTTCTCGCCATCATCTCTTCTTGAGTTTCACTCGGAGCTGCTCAACTGGCCGGGGATGTTGCTTGCAGTGGCATACATCCCAGCTTGCGTACTCTGATTGAAGAGGAAGCTCTCCAGCAAAGAGCAGTGATTCTCGAGCAGTGACAAAACACCGTCCACTCCTGTTTCCAGTCTCGTTTCCAGTCTTGTATTCTCGTCGTTCCTTGCTGATAATCCTCCGACCATGTTGAGAGAAACCATGACCACAACCATCCCTTCCCTCGACATTGGCTTCCGCGAGCGAAGTCACCCCAGCTCTCTACAACAAACACGGGAGTTATTGGCAAACCGCCCGAATCCAAAAACTAACGAAAAGAAAAGCTTGCCTGTCTTCTCCAGAATTCTCGGACGAAGTCGTCTCCCGCGCGATCACAGATCTCCTTGGCCACTTTCACAAACACCATTTTGCCGGATTTGCTCTTCCTCCACGGCTTCGATTCTTCAGGGATTTTATCCAACTCCCTCTGAATCCTCCGCGCTCTCTGGATCCTTACGCTGTCGCTAGATTTTCCGTTCAGTTCTTCGTACGTCAACTCGGCGAGCCTGATCAGAAGCTCCAATGCGCGGCAGCTCCAGGTGGCCCCCTCCTCGACCTCAACCACGTCCTCGTCCCTGACCTCGTCGTCGATCTTCTGGCTGCTCTCCTTCCTCTTTAGCTCTCTCGACGCCTCGTGAAGAGCTTCCAGGCGCCGGAACTCCAGAAAGCCCCCTCGCCCATCCTGGAGATGGCACTCAGTCGGCTGCTGCGTGCCGTCGGGGAGAATGATCTGCGCTGATGGAGAGAAGCGAACAGTCTTGGGCCTGGAACCTGGAAGTCCGAGAGACAGTGGTTAAGTCACGGAAGAAAGGACGAGAAAGAGACAAACCATACCTGGACGACGCGGACCGGCTGGCAACAAAGCTGGCTTGGTTGGCTGCTCCTTTTGCTTGTTTTCTGGCTCTTGATCCTCCTGCTTGATCTTCTCGTGATCCTTCTCGTTTGGCTGCTTGATTTCCTGATTGATCCGCCGCTCCTCCTCTTGTTCTGGTTTCATCCGCTGCTCCTTCTGTTCGAAGCCACTCCTCTTGCTGGTGTTCGTCTTGGAGAGCTCTCGTGAGGCCTCGTGAAGAGCTTCCAGGCGCAGGAACTCGGTGAAGCCTCCACGGCCATCGGTGAGATGGCACTCGGACCACCATCGGGCACCATCCGCACCAAAATTTTCCACCGCAGTCGAGAAACAAAGCAGCTTCTCGTGATCGGCTCGCTGCTGGGCTCGCCGTCGCTCCGCTCGCATCGCCCGCTGCTGCTCCCACCACTGCTTCTCTGCCCGCTTCTTCTCCGCCCGCTGCTGCTGTTGCTCCGCCTGCTCGGCTCGAAGGGCTCGCAGCTCCTCCTGGGCTTGCAGCTCCTCCTGGGCTTGCAGCTCCTGGGCTCGCAGTACTCGCTGTTCCTCCTCCCGCCGCTTGATCGCGCGCCTGAGTTCCTTCTCCTCCTCGTTCAGCTGCTCGGCTTTCTTCTCTTGATTCTCCTTCAGCTCCTCGGCTTCGTTTTGGTCCGGCTTGATCGGCACGATCGCCTTCTGCCCTCGGAGTGATTCCACGATCACACTCACCTCGCGCTTGAGTTGTTTCAGCTTCGAGGCCGCCGCGTCCATGGCTTCCGGGTGGACCTTGTTGTCGCCCTTGTGCGCCTTTTTTGGTCGGAAGAGAGACCACAGACCTGTGACGCATCCACTGCGCTCCTGCTCTGTTCGCGCCATAGCTTGCGCTTTGCAAAATGCCTCTAATGCCCTAACCCTTACTAAATTAATGGACATTAATGTATTAATGTATTAGTCGTAATCTTACTGATTTCACTAAACCTTATGTTGTTGCTCTAATGAGCGAGCGAGCGAGAGATACCTCGAAGAGCTTCCCAGCGCTTGATCACAGCGAAAGAGCAAAGTTGACGTCCTCAGCTCCCAGGGCTTTGATCCTTGCATCCTCCGAGGGCTCCTCCCCCATGGATCTCACTCCTCCTCCGCTTGGCTGGCTGGGAAGAGCTCTTGCGTTTTATCCACCAAGGAGAAAGTTGTAGAGCGGCTCCAGCGATGATTTCTTTGGCCTGGATCCGCGTTGAGAACTGGACCTGGAGCATGATCCTGCTTGCACAATACCAAACCTGTCAACAAGGAAGCAAGGAAGGATTAACCATCCGCTTCGCTAGCTTTTTTAGTCAAAAGCTTTTCAGTGAAGAGCTTTTCCTGAGAACCTTTCGGGTCGTCCATTGTTTCGACTTCCTTTCTCCCAGAGAATTGATGCTCCATTTTCATTCAGAGTGCCCACGGGAAATCCTTGGTGCTCGATCAGTGCTGTCTCGGCGATGAGCTCTACCACTTTCTCATTTGGGGCTAGTAGCTGGATTTGGAGCAAAGCAAGCCTGGAAACACGTTTAACCAAATATTGTAGGAAACAACTTACAAAATACTGTTCAAAAAACACAAAATATTATTGATTGCATTCACCACCTTCAATATTTCATATCTGTTGGGGAATCAAACGAGTCTTCCTCCAAGAAATACCATAAAAACGAAAACAAAATTAAAAAACTTATAGAAAAAATGCTTCTAGTTTATTATGCCAAACTTAAATAATTTTGTATTAAGGAACTGCTCAAGAATCACTGCTCTTTGCTGGAGAGCTTCATCTTCAATCAGAGTACGCAAGTTGTAATGTATGCCACTGCAAGCAACATCCCTGGCCGGTTGAGTAGCTCTGAGTGAAACTCAAGAAGAGATGATGAGCCTAGCGACCATCACAGCCAGGATGCAGCTTAGTAAGGGATCAAGACGAGATTGCGGCAAGGAAACTCGAAGATGACTGGAGGCTGGTAGACTATAAGTTGGACTGGTCTGGAAGGTATCTAATCCAAATGCTCAATTGATGACCTCTTGTCTGTGCAAACACAAAAAGCGATTGAAGCAAACCAAAAAAATCAGAACCCATGTTTCTATTCCCAGCCTTGTTTTCTTCTTTTGTTTGCTCCAGTGGATTAGCGCTGCTGCGGTATAAGGCACAGCTTCAGCGAGGAGCGAAGTAAACCAGTGTCAGATGGCAGCAAGATGGCGAGAAGGTGATCTAGCTGAAGCCGGGGGTTTCGGATTCATAGAGAGGCTGCGGAGACTATAAGACAGACTATGCTTGACGTACTTTGTCATCTGGTAAAGCTCTCTAGTTGATGGTGTCCTCCATGAAGTGTTGGAAGGAGCCAAGATTGGCAGCTATTGGATAAGGTCCATCCTTGCTTTTATTTTCTTCCTTTGTGTTACTGTGAGGGGGATTGCCGAGCTCTACCAAATTGACCATAAAGTGGACTTTGACTGACTGCGTGTGAGAATAAGAAACGAATAGATCGCCACTTTACCTTGACTAAGAGAAGAGTGATGATGCGTCTTCTTCCTCTAGCAGCTTCGATTTTGAGTTTTTTTTTGGTTCTTAGATCTGGGCGTGCCCAAGCTCCTGCATTCTTCGTCTTTGGTGACTCTTTGACAGATCCCGGAAACAACAAGTTCCTCGTCACCACTGCTCAAGCAGCATTTCGGCCAAATGGAATCGATTTCCCAGGAGGGAAGGCGACAGGAAGGTTTTGCAATGGATTCACAGTCGTGGATCTCATTGGTAAGCAAGGCAAATTGATCTACACATTTTCTGAGTTTGTTTTGTTTCTACCAGCTCAAGAACTTGGGCTTCCTCTAGTCCCTGCTTATCACGATCCCAACACAAAAGGCAGTGTGATCCTCAAAGGAGTAAGCTACGCATCAGGCGGCGCTCGAATCCTCAATGATTCCTCCGTGAACTTCCTCCAGAATGTAAAGTATTTAGTCTGGGCTTTTGAAGCGTGTTGACCATCCATCCTTGGATCTTTGACCAGATCCAGCCGCTTGGGAAGCAGATCCAGAATTTCGTCAACACTAGGTCTGAGATCGTTTTGCTTGTGGGAGGCGAGGACCCCGCATTTGATCTTTTGTCACGGTCAATATTTTTGTTTGCTCTTGGATCCAACGATTACTTGAATTACATGAACAGCACCAGGAGCAAATCTCCGCAAGAATTTCAAGATCAAGTAATCTCTGCATACAAAGGCTACTTGAATGTAAGTGATTGCTTTTCTTGCTCAATAACTCATTTGATTTGATTTGATTTTGATTCAACACGGTGATTTACACGGTGTAATTTTGATTCTCAACAGAGAGCCTATCAACTAGGAGCTCGCAAAATAGTGGTTTTTGCTCTTGGACCACTTGGTTGCATTCCATTTAAGAGAGAGGGCAATATTTTGGGAGCAAATGGCAAGGCTTGCCATGAAGAAGCCAACACTTTGGCCGTGAATTTTGACAGAGCACTCAAGGATATGGTTTCAGGGATGAATCGAGACTTGAATGGAGCGAAGATGGTGTTTGGAACTACATATGATCTATTTTACGATGCAACAAACAACCCTTCAAAATATGGTAAGCTTAACACAAATTCATCATTTGCTCATTGTAATTTGTATGACAGGATTTGTGAATGGCCGTGATGCTTGTTGTGGAGTATCACCCTTGAGATTATTTGCTTGTTTACCATTAGGATCAGTTTGTTCTACGAGAAACCAATACTTCTATTGGGATGCTTATCATCCAACAGAGTCTGCAAACCGTCTAATAGCCTCTGCTATATTAAGTGGGAACAAAACAATTATGTTTCCATTTAATCTAAAGCAGCTTATTGATCTCTAGTTATATGAACAAAACCATTGCATCATAGAGTGAGCGTAAACAAAATTTAATATTGTAATTGGGATTAAGCTGTAGGAATGAATTCAAGCTAAGACTTTTGAGGATTTGTTTCCTTCCAAACAAAATCTTATGGAACATTTAGTTGTTTTTAAACAATTGCCAGCCATTGTTGGTGGATGGAACTCATCTTAAAGGCCATTACTTGCTTATTAGGACAATGTAGAGTGGTTAACTCAAGGAAAGATGATAGCTAGCTTAGTTTTACGAAATTTGAAAAAGCCCTCAAAGCCCTCAAGAAGTTGAGTTTTGAGTTGCTCCATTTCTTTTGGAAAGTTGTTCATTAGGTTATTTTCTCCTTGGGTGGCAACATTCTTTGAGGACAAGTGAGTGATTTTACACTTGATATCCAAATTGTGGATGAGATGAAAGAATTACTAATATTTAATATGATAGAGATTATATGGATGAAGGGCCAAAGCATGGGATGAAGTTGTAGCACTCTAGGCTTAAAGTCACACCACTTGGGATTTAAGAAGTGTTTACATAGTAGTATGTATTTGAAGCACTAACATGTTTGAGTAAAAGTCAAAGAACAAAAGGTTTATAAGATTGAGTGGGTTACATGTCAACTTGGAGGAGGATTTGTAATCCAAGTGTCTTGCTTGAATTGAAGGAAACTTATGTGGTGAATACATTATTATAGGAACTTTACACACTACAACCCCTTGGTTTTGGGGATGACAAACCCATGATTTACTGTAGCACAGATTATCCAAAAACCAGAATATATACAATGTATTAGCTAGTTAAAGAAGTGGTGAACTTGACAAATTTAGAGCTTCAGGCTTTAGTTGAAGTAGGTTTTAAATTTGAAGAGATCATTAATCAAAAAAGTTCAACTTTAGCACTTTTTTCAAGAAGTTCCAAAAATAAAAAAATAACAAATGCAAATACTTGGTCAAAGGAAGCAAAAGCAACAAAGCATTACAATTAAAGATGGGAGAAGAGTGTCAACATTAAGTAAAAATATTATAATTATGAGTATATAGTTCTCAATTATAGAGCTAATATTGTAAATGAGAAGGTTTACAACATCACAATTAACCAATTTTCAAGTTGCAATTACACATACTTTTCAACATCAATTTTTTTGTAAATCTTTCATCTATTATAAGCATATGTATTTTATATATTATATGCTTTTTCGGATGGATCAAAATGTTAACTTAAGATTTATCACTCTGCAATGTCTGAACATTAGGTGTTTTTGACATTGAAAATGAATTAGATATTGGTATTATATTCGGGTTTAATATAATATGTATAAATTTTTATTTATAAATTATATTTAAAATAACATAGGGCATTTTAAGTTTATAGTAATTTTATATATATATATATATATATATATATAATTAGAGGATGCTAACTTAAATAATTAGTATAAATAAAAATTATTAAATATTAAAATAATAATTTCTTCTGTAGTTACCTATTTAATAAAGATATTGCCGCTAAAACCTTAACAGAATATTCTTGGTGTGCAAGAATATTCTTAAGGTATTCTTGGGCTCCCGGATCCAGATCAAAGTAGTGAAGTTTGAGCAGCGAGGATCAAGCATCTTAAACAAAGAAAGCAAATAGCAGTTTAATCAAGCAGAGCAGCAGCAGAAGAACTTGAATACTGATCTTTGATTTTTTAGTTTCATTTCATTTCATTTTCTTTGCGAGATACAGAAAAGCGACAGCCTTTGAAGACTTGCATGTTAATATGCCTTAAATTTCTGGTCTTCTGCTGCCTCTCCCACTGCTTCCATGGCTAGGCCGTACTCAATGGATTTGGTGATGGCGGTGGTAGGCACTCGGCAGGCATCGCACTACAAAGAGAAGATCATGTTAGAGCAAGAAGTCAGGAGCTAATATGTACGCACCTTTAGTTGTTCCATATGTTTATAGAGCCATTTGACTGCAGAAAGAAAGAAGACTCACTCACTCTTGTAAGA